TTTTTACCCTCGCCCGAACTTCCTCCGTATATATACGACCAAAACAGTCAGAGGGTTAAAAGTTAATTCCCCCAAAAATGAAAATTCCTAAAATTTTGATGTACAGTAGACCGTCATTTAGCACGAGTTTATTTGGCACGGTTTGGGTATTGCACGATTGAAGAATTGCAGCACAATTTTGTGTAACATGTCGTTTAATTAATTTAACACAGTTCAGTTTGTGGGAAGGAAAAATAAAATTATCTTTTGCTCAAGCAGCCACCTTGTGGAGCAGCCGGGGAACCCTCCCACCATCTCCTGCCACTCCCCGACACCACCCCACCATACCAGCATTCGTAATTCATACGTGTCCAGTCTTTCTCTGCATCAAGGCACTTGTGTTTGTGAATTGTGTTATGATATTTTAATTACTTTATCTTGTATCTACCAAGCAATCATGACACCCAGTAGCCATACTAGTGTTGCTGAAAGTGGCACGAAGAGGTATAAGCACTTAAGTCTTAGAATTAACAAAGAAACTAAGATATTAGACAAGAGATAACATGTAGCTGTAATGAAGTGTTACTTTGCACACAGAAAAAGAGGTAAACATGAGTTTGCATGACTGACTGAATGACTTACTAAATGACTGACTTGCTGAATGACTTGCTGACTTCCTGAGTGACTTGACTGACAGTAAGTCAGTCAAGTCACTCAGTAGGTCAGTCAAGTCACTCAGTGAGTAACTTGACTTACTGAATGACTTGACTGACTTATTGAATGACTTGACTGACTTACTGAGTAACTTGACTGAATGGCTTAAAGTTAGACACTCCATTACAACCATCAACTTCAGTACCAGAACCTCTACCATCCACCTCAGCCCAGTAGGGCCACAACATAACTCTCCACTCTCTTCACAATCATCCACAAACACCAACACCCATAATTTAAGGTAAGAAATACTATTATTTCTGTTACATTTGTAGTCTTAAGCAGTAAAAACAACATAATACATCACAACAATGAACTAAAACTACATATTCACTTTTATTTTTGTAAGATGTGGAGGCCTAAAAAAAACTTGTTTGGCTTTTTGGGGGCTCCCTTGGAACGTAAGCCTGGTTTTCCCCTAAGTTCTTCACTTCATCTAACACGATTTTACCTTGCATGGCATTTTCAGGAACGTAACTACCATGCTAAATGACGGTCTACTGTACAACGAAATACACTTTTCTTACCTTCTGGCAGCTAAGTTGGGTAGGCTTTGCTAGACTACATTCATTTCTGTACATAAATGCCTTGCCTATTTGAAAATTTTTGCCCTTATTGAGCTGAGACATCTTTGGGTATTTTTAAATTAAAATTTTTAAAAATTTGGGGTTTTCCCTGGAAAGAAATAAATATCCATTTTTTTTTACAAACTATGCATCATCTGGAAATAAAAAATTTTAAAATTTTTAGATTTTTAGCTGTTTTTTTTTTTTCAAACTTTACCCCACATTTTTCCCTGTTTATTAAAACAAACAAAGTTTTTTTTATTAAGCTCTTACTTTTTACTAGCACCCCTTTTTTTCAGTTTTTTAAATTGTTAGTTATATTACATATTTGTTTTCAATTACACCCCCTTTTTTAAATTTTCATGTCCAAAATAATATTACCCCTATGTTTTATAATCTTGGCAAGCCTTGAAATTGGAAAAGGCAATGACAGGGTGGATGGGGGGGGCAAATGTGGCAGATTGCGGGTGTATGGTGAAGGAGGTAGGTTATGAAAGAGTAAAGAGTTTTTACGGGGAAATAGTGGGGCTAAAGTTAAAAACCATAGGAAAGGGGGAAATTTTTTTCCCCAGAAAAATTGGGCCTTAGAAAAGGGATGGGGTGATTTCACCATGGTTGTTTAATTATTTAAAATGGGGTTGTAAGAAAAAGTAAAGGGCAAGGGCCCTTTGGAAAGGGAGGCTGGGGGTTAAAAGATAAAAAATCTTGCAAAAAGTGGGAGTTGTCACAGTCCCTCTTTGTGATGCCCAACTGTGTCTTGGGAGATTCTAAAGGGAAAAAAACCTTGCAGAGGTGGTGGAGGGAATTTGGTAGGAATTTTAAAAAAAAGAAAAAAAAAAGGGGAATACAGGAAAGAGAAAGGGTTAAATGGGATAAAAAAAAGTTTAGGTGATGAAAGTTTGGAAATCGGGATTGGGGGGAGAAAAGTATGGAGGGGGTTTGGAATGAAATTAAAGATATTTGGGGGGGGACGTGTCAGCGGAGGGGTTTTAATTAAAGTTGGGGTAAATCATAGAATTATGGGGGGAAAAAGGGTGAGGGGTGCACTTAGAGTCTGGGGGCCAAAAACTTTGCCCTTTGGGAAGGCAAAGGGGGAAGTATGAGAGAAATATTTTTTACCAACGCTCTTTTGGGTTGGTAAAGCAGGGGTTTATGAATTTTGCGCGAGGAGAAGGCGGGAGGGGGAGATGCATGTCTAGGGCAATGGGGGGGTTTTAATTTTTTTTGCAGAAAATTCGTATTTTGGGAAGTTAGGAGGGGGTTGGGGGGATTGCCAAAACTGTTGTCCAGGGGGTTGGGGGAAAGGGTTTTTTGAGGGGGTTTTGGACATGTAAAGAAAAAGGAGCGAAACAGAATGCCCTTAAAGAGTGTATCAGTCTTTTAGTAAAAGGAAGGCGAGGGAAAGGGGTGGGCCCCTGGGAAAAAGGGAAAAAAAGGGGGAAAAGGAGGTTTTGTGTGCGGGGGGCCTTGGATTTTCCACGGGCATGCGTGAGCGTTTAAAAGGGAAAGGGGAATGGAGCCCAAAGGGTTTTTTAAATTTAACTTGCCGTGTTTGTTGGGTGTGAGAAAATTTAAAATTTTTTTACAAGGGATTCGGGGAAAACCCGGGCGGGCCAGACTTGAGTCCTGGGGATGGGGAAATAAAAGTGCCGCATCGAAAGGAGGGGTGTTAATGTTGCAGTTTTTAAACCCGTTGTGTAAAGCACCCTTCTGGCAAGACAGTGATGGAGTGAATGGGTGGTGAAAGTTTTTTTTTTCCGGGGCCCCCTGCCCCGGGGGAATCGGGCCAGTGTGCCCAAAAAAAAAAAATTTAATTAAAAAACTAATTATTAATATACAGTTTTCTAACTTTCCATTGAAGCTTTTAATTCCTTATATTATTAAATTTTTTCTCTATTTTTTAATCCAAAAAAAATTTTTAAAAGTTTTTTCTGACAAAGCAGTTTACACAAAATCCAAAAAATTTCCAAGCTCATTTTAGCCCGGATGATTTTTCCCGAAAAGACTACATAATTTTCCTTTTTTCTGAAGAATCTTTCCCAAAAATTTTTGCAGCTTTGTGTTATTAAAAGTATTAAGGGAATCCAAACCCCCAAAAATCCTGTCACTAGACAAAATTCTATCCACCCATCAATTTTTTTTCTAATTGTAGGGGGTGTTTTGCTTTTTCTTCATATTTTCCCGCTGTATAAGCTAAACATTACCCCTTTTGAAGCTTAACATTGGGTGTGTTGAGCCTTTAAAAATCACCCAGCTATTTTTTTTCATTGTCCTTTTTTTGTGTGCCTCATTCTGACTTTCAGTATCGCTAGCAATCCTCTTTTTTTCCATGGCTTAAATTTTCAGTGATGGGGGGAAAGGTCAAGAAAGTAAAAAAAAAAAAATTTAGCGTTTTGGGTTAAATTGTGCCAACTCAGGTCACTTGGGACATTTTGGTTTATAATGATTGTGGAAAAGCTTTAGAAGCCCCCGTGAGTGACAATATGAGGGCCATCCCGGGATAAAAAAGTTTTAAATTTTTCGAAATTTTATTTGGGAAAAGGACAAATTTTTTTTAGAAAGTGGAAAATTTCGTACCCTTTTAAATTTTTTTTTTTTTTTAACTGTAGATTTTGTCATCTTTGGATCTATGGGCAACACAGAAATTTCAATAATTCACAAAACTTCTGGCTCCAAGATCAAATTATTGAGGTTGTACTGTATTTTATTAATTACTTCAAATGGCTCTCCCCCATGATGGCAGGGCGACTCAAAGAAGAAAACACATTCATCCTCACTCATTCAGTTGTCTTTCCAGAAGTGTGCTGACATCACAATTCTTTCTGTAGTTATTAATTTCAGTGTAACCCTCATCTGTATGTACATGTTCCAGTTTTTTATTTTATATCCTACTCGATACACTGCACATACAAAGTATTTCCTAAATATTTTTACTGTACTTTGTTCTGTTAGCTGTAACACATTCTGTATAATGTTTTTTGTGAATAAATTATTTGACTCATAATTCATGTCTTTCTTATTATAGAGTGTTATGGATGCTAATTTTTCTAGTTAGCTTTCATTATGTCATACTTTATACTGTGCCTATATTTGGCCCTGTACTCTTCAGACAGAAGTAGAGGTTTATAGGAGAGACAGCCGCAAATTGCCTATTGGAGATCCTGATATTGACTGGGAAGAAACTGTCTACCTTAACCTCATCATTCACCAGTTTGACTACACCCTTACACTGGCTGTTTGTACACGCACCAGCCCTAAAGACCTTCAAGTTCTCCGTCGACATTCACAGGTATGTTAGAAAAAAGTGTTCTCATTAACGTCATCTATATAGTGAAGAAGACTTTACTTTTACTTGATCCTTTTTCCTCTGCTTTCTTCTTTCCCCTTCTTTGCCTTTCACCTCCTTCTCTTCCTTTGCCATATCCTCCTTTCTCATCTGTTTATGAAACCTGTAGGTAGATGCCTAGATCAAACTAAAGCACTGAAACGAAATAGGAAATTTTAGACAACGTTTCTTCAGCATCTTCTCCCAGAAAAAAAATTAATGGGTTATTATTCCTGTGACATCTAGACAGCATCATTGTTTTTAATGCATTGGCTGTCTCCCACCAAGACTGGGTGACCTGAAAAAGAAGAAACAAAAGTATTTCTTTTTACATTTAGTAGTATATACAGAAGAAGGGTGACTAACCCCTGGCTCCCAGCATATTAGTGGCCTCTTATGACATGCATGCTTTACAGAGGAAAGATTCTTCTCCACTTTCCCATTGAGAAATATAACTTTTTTTTAACACACTGGCCATCTCCCACCAAGGTAGGGTGACCCAAAAGAAAAAGAAACACTTTCACCACCATTCACATTATCACTGCCTTGCCAGAGGCATGCAGATGTAACAGTGTAGGTATCACTCTAAACAGCAAATATCTCAAACTCCTCCTTTAGAGTGCAGGCACTGCTTCCCACTTCCAGGACTCAAGTCTGACTAAATTATAGTTGATAATAATTCTTTTAACAGTGCAGTTGACTGTGTCCTTTATACCTCAGAAAATACATATGTATAGAAATGAGATTATCTTGGAAATACAGTATTCCTTATGACTATAGGGGTGGCTCATGATTAAAGTAGCCACTTAGATTTGGGCACTAGTTAATTTTATTCTTATGATAATTAGGAAAAAGGTGTGTTCCTAGAGCTCTTACCTTTCATCTGATCCGTATTTAGCTTTAGAAGTAAGATAATAGCTAGTTCAGAGTCACAGTTTGGCTAAGTTAGTTTGGACTAATGTGTCCACTTAGTGTGCGGCACATGCTTGAAGAGAAGACTGAGTTGTTCTAAAAGGGCATGTACTCCTGATTTACATCATTGCCACCAAGGGAGATGAAGCCACCATCGATCACTGCAAGCTCTGAGCTACTGTGAGTACCACAAGCTGCCTCAACTCTCCTAGCACCACCTTGGGATCCACTAGTTCTTGCAGAGTTGAATATCAGCTGCTACCTAGCTTCCACTACTATACCTTCCCTGTTGGTCTGCCTTCACCCCATCCTGGTGCACCATGCCTTTACTAGCCTTCATTTCTTCTTCACGTAACAACCACAATGCAGTGGCCTTCAGAATTAACCAAGGGACAGTAGCCCACCTTCCTTTTTCTCAAAAACACCTAGCTGCTGTGGAAGACTGCCCTGACTTGTCTCCCCAGAGTGCACTGCATCAGTGCACTTGTTATTTGTTACTAGTTGGAGAATTGGAGCAGGCAATCAACAGAGAAGTCTGGCCCCAGGCTGGGCTGTGAGGGTTAAGAACTCTTGAAATCTATCACAGGTATGCTATCATGATCATTTTTGTTTCCCAGAGTTAGCACTGTCTGCTCTGCTGGCACCCCAAGCTGAAAAATGAAGCGAGAATCTGTTATCAATATTGAAGGAATCTGCAATTGTTTTGAGCAGGAGACTTGACATGACTAAGAATATAATATGATTTCCATGCTGCTCTTTAAACTTTCACAGTATCCACATTAAAAAAAAAGTTCTCCTTCAATGGTAGAAAATCATTTCCTGAAGGTAATGACACCAAAACTATGAATTTTGATGGAAAACTTAGGGAATTATGCAGGCACAATCTTAAGAGGTCTGGGCACATTTTATGCATCTGCAATTTTTGCAGAATTTGTGTCCTATTTGAAGCCAATTTCCTTACCTGTGTCGAAAAATAAAATAAAAAATTTTTTTTTCTTCTGAAATAATGGAGAATCTTTTCCCGATGGTAAGGACATCAAAAGTACGAAATTTAATGGGAAACTTATGGAATTGTGCTCTTGCGAAGTTATTGGTCTTGGCAGTATATACGCATCAGCAATTTTGCCCACTTTGAGCCCTATTTTCAGCCAGTTCCATTGTTCCAGTCAACCAAACTCATGGCTATTTCGCTAGAATTCCATTTGTTCTATCGATTGAGTACAAGAAACTGCCCATTTACTGATTTCAACTACCCAGTAACCTGGTTGGAAATTGGCAGTTTGGTCAATTTCACACAAATTTCAAAAGATGCCAATTTCAAAATAGGGTCCAGAATAAACAATGCAGACATTCCTGGCACTAAAATAACATTTTCTCTGTTCATTAGTCATGTCTCCAGGTCCCTCTTATATTACTCTTGCTTTCCATTTTGAATTTTTATTCACACAAAAAATAGAAGATTTACTGTTATGCAGATTACTGCATTATTGTAATAATTGTATAAATAATGTCAACCCCATTCATGACTGCATATTAGGCTGGCCAGTTGGACATGTATTGGACAGTGACTTCATTTGTTTACTCTTGAACATTGGCAAATCAAACATTTCTGCTACTTTGAGCTCAATTTCAATGTACTTTTCTTCATGAAGCCAATCAAAATCATTCTCATTTCTGTAACATACGTATCTTCAGTTCTATCAAAGGAGACCAAGAAAATGAGAATACAACCATAAATACCATATGAAAATCCACCTCAAAGTAGGCGTTTTAAACTAAAAACACGGTCTGAGTTTTTTTTTTCTTTTGCACTGTGTGCTGCAGGATTTTTTTTTATAGTGTGCACACTGACCATGCGGACCCATTCTCTCACATGTAGGTCTACCAGCTTTCTCTTGCTAGATTTGAAGCTGCTAGAATTTTGGTGTATTAATACGTCACCGACACTGGCTTGTAAGCCATACCTATGTATACGTCACCAACAGTTGGAGGGTTAATTAAATTCTTAGCTATTTTGCTATATGCTTTCCATTCTATCTATTGTGTGCAAGAAATTGCCCATTCAAATATCAGAACTACTCTAAAAAGTGCACAGAATTTGGTAATTTGACCAGTTTTATGTAAAATTAAAAATTCCAATTTAAAAAAGTCCAAAATAAGCAAGGAAGACACTCTGCACACTAAAACATTTTCTTTGTGCAGTAATTATGTCTCCAAGCCTCTCCTATACATATTACATTTTGAATTCACCATCACAAAGAATCAAACATTTACCCTATTTCTTTGATATTAAAATATAACCAGGAATGATTTGTCATGCTTTACAGTGTCCCAGTAACTGCATCAGATCTAGTAAAACCTATCAAACAGATTGGAGGTTGTAGGGGAGGCCTTACCTGTCCTCAGGAATATCTACAGAGATCAAATATTTCCATTTTGTTTTTGAGGCTGATTTCTAGCTACTTATGGCTCCTGAACTAAATAAAATCATCTTTATTTCAGTAATATGTCTTTCATTCTTTCAATTGTTACCAACAAACTGCCAATAAAACAACAAAAACTATCCTAGAAAGCACCCCAAGTTCACTGTTTTAAACAAAACATTGTACGAGGCAGAATTTTTTTTTTTATATAGTGCATACTCACCACACAGGCTCATTGTCTCATATCAGTGCCAAAATTTACCATTCACAGCTTATCTGAGTAAGCTGAGTGCATAATGTGTAAGTACGTAAAGGACCATAGCCTCAGTTACATAGTTGTACATGATGGACAGTCAAAGGGTTAATTTGGAACTTGCTAAAAAAATCACTGAAACTTATCAATAAGAAAAAATTTCAATGTGAGTTTTCATGTACATATTATAAAAATGAGGAGTGAATGGTATCAACAGGCAAAGCTTCGTAAAGAGTGCACAAATGTGTCTTCCTTTAGAGCAGTGACTATATTAAAAAGGTTTACTCAAACACCTGTGTAACTTAGAAAATCTCATGTGCCATCTGAGAGCCTTACAGGTAATGGCAGTTTCCAGTACTTGGGTGCAGTATTATTTCATGATGCTAATGTTACAGCCACACTAAAAGGGTTTTAGAAAGTCTTTTCCAAAAAAGGGGATTAAATGTTTTTAAAAGGGGTTTAAACCAGAATAAACAAAAATTTTTTTTGTGCTAAATTAAATTACTTTAAAGAAATTTATTCTAATCGGGTTTCTGCAAAAACCCGGGTTGAGCATCTTGTTATTGCATCATGGGGAAAATTTTTTTTTGGGGGGTTTTGAATCACTACTTGAAAAGGGTTTTTTGGGAAAAAAATACAGTTTTTTTTTTTTAAAAAAATTAAAAAATTTTTTTTAAAAAAAAAGGGTTTTTTTGTAAGGAAATTTTTTTCCCTTTTTTCTTTTTCAAAGGGGGTGCCCCCCCCCCCTTTGGCCCCCCCCCCCCCCGGTTTGGGGGGGAAGGGGGGGCCCTCTTGGGGTTTCAGGAAGGAATTTTAAAGGGATTTTGGGTTTCCCCCCGGTTTTCTCCCCCCCCTTTTCCTTTTCCCAAGGGGACGGAACCTAAAATTTACCCCCAATTTTTTTTTTCCCCGGTTCCCCAATCCCATCCCCCCCGGGGGTTTTTCCCCTTTTTTCCCTTCCTTCCTTTCCCCCCCCCCCCACCCCCTTTTCCCCCTTTTTTGGGCCCCTTCCTTTTTTGGCCTTTTTTTTTTTTTTTTTTTGTTTTAATTTTTTTTTTTTTTTTTTTTTTTTTTTTTTTTTTTTGGTTTTGGGTTTTTTTTTTTCCCACCAGGCACCTAGACCCCCTTTTGGGAAAATCCCGGGGGCCACCCCTTCCGGGAGTTCTTTTTTGGCAAATTTGGCCGTACCCTTTATTTTTGGGGGTTTTTTCCAAAACCCCTTTTCCGGTTTTCCCGGGGGGTTTTTGGGGTTTTTTTGGGCGGGGGTTTTTTTGGGCCCCCTTTTGGTTCCCCCGGGGGGTTGGGGGCCCGGGGTTCCCCCCTTTGGGGCGGAATTTTGGGCCCCGGGCCCTTTTCCCCTTTGGCCAAACCGGGTA